GCAGGTTTCGTGGCAGGCGCAGGAGTTTTTGATGTGGAAGTGTAGGTGTAGTACTTTGTGGCTGTTGAACTGCAGATAGACAGATAGAAAGATAGAAAGATAAATGGATCGATAGATACATAGATAGATAGAGGAGGCATATTTGCTTGGTTAGAAATTTTATACCGGGGAGTTCACCTTAAAATATTGATTTCGTGGCAGGCGCGGGTGTCGGGGATGAAGTGCAGATTTCGTGGCGCGGGGGGGGTTGGGGGGGGCGCAGCACCCCCCCCAGCAGCACACCAGATCCAAAGGTGAGCAGCTCGTGCTTGCTTGCTTGCTTGCTTCCTTGCTTGCTTGCTTCCTTGTTTGCTTTGCAAAACACATATCGAATCCACGAAGGACCAGAGGACCAAGGGACTAGCGGACCAGTGGACCGAGTATATATTTTTTTTGTCGGTGACCGGAGACCTCACCGGAGACCGGGCCGGGCCGTTGACCGGACCAGTGACCGGGCCGGAGACCGGGCCGGAGACCGGACCGAGTGACCGGGCCGGAGAGCCGTGACCGGGCCGGGGACCGGGCCGGAGACCGGGCCGGAGACCGGGCCGGAGACCGGGCCGGCACGGGACCGGTGACCAGGCCGAAGACCGGCGACCGAGAAGGAAGTGGTCACTCCAACTTGACTTACTCTTTTGTGGGCAATGCAGGGGTAAAATTTAGAGAAGGATGTCGCCTTTCCAACTTGACTCACCCCTTTATGCGGGCAACGCAGTGGGAAAATTTGGACAAGGAAGTGGCCCTTCCAACTTCACTCACCCTTTTGTAGGGGTTTAACTTATAGAAGGATGTTGCCCAAGTTGACTCACCCTTTGGTGGGCCATGCAGGGGTAAAATTTAGAAAAGGAGGTTGCCATTTCAACTTGACTTACCCCTTTGTCACCCTTTTGTGGGCAATGCAGGGGTAAAATTTAAAGAAGGATGTTGCCATTTCAACTTGACTCACCCTTCTGTGGGCAAGGCAGGGGTAAAATTTAAAGAAGGAAGTGGCCCTCAACTTGACCCACCCTTTTGTGGGCCATGCAAGGGCAACGCAGGGGTAGAATTTAGAGAAGGATGTTGCCTTTTCAACTTGACTCACCCCTTTGTGTGGGCAATGCAGGGGTAAATTTACAGAAGGAAAATTTAGAGAAGGAAGTTACCCTTCCAAGTTGACGCGCCCTTTGGTGAGCCACCCGAGGATAAAATTTAGAGAAGGATGTTGCCACTTCAACTTGACTCACCCTTTATGTGGGCAAAGCAGGGGTAAAATTTAGACAAGGAAGTGGCCCTTCCAACTTGATTCACCCTTTTGTGGGCCATGCAGGGGTAAAATTTAGAGAAGGATGTTGCCCAAGTTGAGTCACCCTTTAGTGGGCCATGTAGGGGTAAAATTTAGAGAAGGAGGTTGCCATTTCAACTTGACTTACCCCTTTGCGTGGGCAATGCAGGGGTAAATTTTAGAGAAAGGAGTGGTCATTCCAACTTCACTCACCCTTTTGTGGGCAATGCAAGGGTAAAGTTTTAAGAAAGATGTTGCATGGATAAAAAACAATTGTTGACTGGTTGCAGGTCCGGTGGCCGGCGTTGGGGGGGCGGTGACCGGGCCGGAGACCGGGCCGGTGACCGGTGATTGGGCCGTTGACCGGGCCGGAGACCGGGCTGGAGACCGGGCCGCAGACCGGACCGGTGACCGGGCCGGTGACCGGTGACCGGGCCGGTGACCGGACCGGTGACCGGAAAACAAAAAAAGTATATTATGAGTGGACCAGCGGACTGCAGGGGACCAGCGGACCAGGGGACCAGCGGACCAGAGGACCAGGGGACCAGCGGACCAGAGGACCAGCGGACCAGCCAGAGGACCGGCCACCTACACGACTGGGAATTCCAAGGGATTTCATCGCACAACGAATATGTTTTTATTGATTCAGTAAATATTGTGTTTTTGATTCGGTAAATATTTTTTTTTTGATTCGATAAATATTTTTTTTTGATACCTATGCCGCCAAGAGGCAGGTTGGCATCTGGGAAGATGTAGTACCCTTCAGCGTTGGTGAAGTTCCTGAGCGTTGGTGAAGCAACTGGGACGACGGTAGGGACGGACAGGTGATTTGGGTTCAGTCCTCAAGACCAGACGACTGGGACAACACCCTTCCTCTTCCCATGCATCCGTGTCTGTTTGAGCTTGCCATTGGCGTTGTTGTACGACTCGAAGGACAACCCTGCAACGATCAGGCTGCATGATGTTCTCTCGTAAAGCCTCACTCCAACTCTTGACTCCGCTTTGTTCAGCCAACACCAGATGCAAAGATACCCATGGCCCATGGGCCATTCAATACCCAATATATACCCAATACCAGGTATCAACCATGGGTATCTGGTATCTGGTATTGGAGCCAACTCAATACCAGATACCCCTGGGCCAATAACAGCCAGGCGTCGTGTACAATCCATTGTTGTCAGGCTGGCACTCGGCTCCAAAAGGGCAGTTGATGCAAGAAACACTTCCTGCTCCCACAACACCCATGACAACACTGTCAGGATGTGGATCACACAAAGGCAAGATGGGAGTTTGATTTGGAACGTGGTCTTCTGATGTCTTTCTGCGCATTCAGTTCTGAGAGACAACAGGAAGTATACAGTAGACGCAAAAGCTCGTTCCGAAACTCTGGAGACCAGGCAACAGCAGGCACAACCATTTCTACGTGTCCAGGAGCCCCACCAGAACACAGTAAGAACTGAAGGCTCGCTGTCATGACGCTCGATTTCTCAATGGGCACTGCGAGAAGCACCAGTCTCTGGCACTCGAGGGTCCTTCTGGTGCCCAGCGTGCCAGTTCGTCATTGAGGACATCAAAGGTTTCGGAGCACGGCGTGCAGCGGTGCGAGCCGCTGCCAGCACTGAAAGTGCCAGCTGGGCATGGAAGGCAGCTGTTTTGTCCTGTCAACCACTCGAAGCATAGACCAGATTGAAAAATGGAACGTCACGGCGGCAGTCCTTGTTGACTTTGAAAGAACCCGGCACTGCAGGGCGAGCAAGATGAAGACCCCGGCTGCTCACTGAAGTACCCCGCCTGGCGCAAGTGCGACCACGCTGGGAGCTCCAAGGATCTGATGGGCTCTATTCGAGTCGAGTGGAGAGTTTTGAGTTTCGATTTTAGGGATCAGCTGCTTCAGCTGCTTTAGCTGATCTTCCCAGGCCTGGCAAGGCCTGCAGTTCCCTTGCCAACTCTCGGTGCCAGGAGGGCAAATGAGACAAATCCGCCTGTGGGCTCTTGAATCCTCAGCGGAAGCTGCCGACATCGAACAGTCGACAAGTCGACAAAACACGGCTCGTGGTGCTGATCAGATGCAGATCAGTTGCCCATGACCCAAAAACCCTCGCACCTGGCATGGAGACATTTTGAAGGTCTCCATATTCCTGGACCTACAATATTCCCAGCCAACTCAGAATGTTCCAAATGGAATCTTGAGAGGTGTCGACCCGTCCAAAGAACGGCAGCGACGCCGCGTTCCAAGAACTTAAAACAGCATGTTTGGACTGGAAAGAAAGAAACATCCACCGAGACCATCCAAAATCGACTATTGGAATTAATGTTAACAAAAATGTGCGCACAGCCAGCTGACAGCGCCTGCACCAGCACCCAGCACTGGCACCAGCATTGGCGCACCGACCGCGCGCACAGCTGTCGCTCATTAGTAAGAACCCTAGACTCTAGACTCCAGGCCAGGAATCCTCGACCTCCGGGAATCCACCTGCCCAAAAACAAAAAACCGGTCCACTGGTCCTCCTCTTCCCCCACCGCTTCGACCGGGTCCCAGGAGCCCAGGTGGAGCTGGAGAACTCGGAGCAGGGCACGCACTCATCGCGCCCGGTCTCGTTGTTCCGGGAGAGGCCTGGGGGCGGTGTCCGACCGGTGGGTCCACACCGGCGGTAAGAGCGTGCCACCGGCCACGCGGTGGACACTGCGTTTGGATGGGGGTGGCACCAGAGTCTGGTTGGAAAAACAGCACCCGAAAGGATGAAGATCCCCCAACATCCCCTCCCCTGAGGCTGTGGCATCCATCCCTAGCAAGGGAGAGGCTGCCAAGCCTTTGGAAGACTCGAGTGCTGCTCCCACTGACCACCACATCGGTGTCACCCAAGGATGATCTGTAGAACATCCCCGTGTTCCCTCGATCTCTGCCGTGCGACCATACGCCAGGCCGTCTGCAGCAGGCAAGAACTGGTTGTAGCAGGTGCTCATTCGCCAGCTCATCCTTTGAAGGTCTCGTGTGAGGGACTGCGACGACCGTGACATGCAGATCTCTTTGAAAGGCTGGTCCGAGAACCAGAAATGGTTCTGAAAACATGCCGGTCCTGATTCTTTAGAATCATTGATCTGCACCATTTACAGAAACTATGGAGACTATGCAGGGGAAACTGAAAGATGGGCCTATGAGATCGTATGAAGTGCGTGTGACATCACCGGAAAATACGAAGGACTCGAGTCTCCCGTTGACATGATCCGTGAAACGGTGGGCGAACCAACCGGCCAGGTCTCTTGGGATAGGCCAGTGGCTCTCGCCGTCGTGCCACTCCAACCTGGCCCAAAGGTCCAAATAGCTTCGGCTTCGGCTGCTCACAAGTACAAACTGGTTGGTTTTGGAAGGCAGCTTTGGCTCTGCAATGAAACTCATGTAAACTGGTCCATGTCTTCAACTCCTCTTTGGCGCCCAGGCAGGAGCTGCTGGAGTGAGGTATTTCATGGCAAAGCGGAGTCCGTATACTCCTGGATCAGGAACTGATCGGCTTCGAAAAAGTGTTCTGCAAACGGAGGGTCACATTCTTTCCATGACACTGTGGTCTAGAAGCCGATAGACCAGAAAAGCATTAGTCTGTGTCCAAAAGAGCACCAAGGATTTTTTTCTCCAACAAACTGACTCCAAGACGAAGTGCAGTAAGGGCGGACAAATGGGGCAAGTGGCGAAGTCTCTATTCACATCAAGTTTGGGAGAAGAATACTTCCTAAAACATTCTAAAACTATCCATAATGCTGGGGTTTGCAATTGTGGGGTTCTTGTGCAAGAATACGATTTGGACTTTGTTTCAAGATTGCAAATCTGTCCTGGCAGCCAATGAAAGGTGGTTCCCAGCTGCATGGTCGATGTAAGTTGAACCCGATGGCCTCGCAGTCGACTCTGACACAACCAAGAAACAACTGCAAACCTCCAGAACACCAGACTTCACCTCCAGACTCGTCACTGTCAGCTTGCCGGGACAAATGAGGGATCCAAGCTCCGCAAAACTGGCCACTTGGCCGTTCAGGGCGCAAAAGCCACACATGTTCTTCTGAAGAATGCATCACTTGAGGAGATCGCAATTCACCGGCCACGTTCCGCCTGTCGCATCAAAGACTACCTCGCCCAGCACTGGATCCAACACCTTGCACCAACCGCTGCAATGCCGCTGCAATGCCGCAGCTCTCGTTTTCGGTCGTGATTCAACAGCCCCGTTGTTTGGATTGAACGGGCCTGTTTCAGACCGTACCCAAGTGATCAGACGCGCCTGCAAGCTCGCCAGCGCTTCTGCAACGGCCTCCCAGTGATGCCAGTGACAAGGATCCCGCTCCCAAGGGCCAAAAGGGATGTTAAAAGGGAAAGGTGTGCTCAACAGTCTTGCTCCGAAGCGTGTCTGAACATCAATCGATTGCGGACGGCCGCGGCCGGGCGCACTACAGCAAGTCTCGTGCGTACAGCTCTACAGCGCTCCGCCAGCCTGAGGGTTGGTGGAGTTGGCCTCTTGGACTGCCTCAAAGGACAAGGACCGCCAGAAGAAGCCACACGGCAACGAGGTGGGTCACCGGCGCAGGTCAGAACCGACCCGGGGTCGGTTGCAACCAACCCTGACGGCTCGTGGTTCTCCGCACTCCCCCGGACCCCACGAAGGACTTGTTGGCCCGCTTTGGACCACGGGGCCCCGTTTCGACCAACCGCGCGGGGCGGCCGGCCTTCAAGAGAATGGCGGCGGCTGCGGACGCGGCGGCGGACTCTGGACGCGCATGGGTCCGCACCAAGTAGTATTGGAGGTACATGAAGGCTGGCAGGGCGAGGCTGGTACTTCCAGACGGTCAGAAAATCAAGGGTCAGATGGCCTGAGGAAGCTCTATGTCTATTGGGCATCGGAACGAGCAAGTCTAGTAACACTTGACATTATTGGGTCGTCTTGCATAGAAATCAGAACGATTAGCCGCTCAGTGGTGGAAAACCTGGCGCTGCAGTAAACAATACATGTTGCGTGGCACTCTTCAACTTGCCTAACTAAAGAGATAGGCAAGCATGAAGTTTATAGATGTTCCGCATGTCTGAGACACTTGGCACTACGTTCTATGCTTGCAAAGTGCCTACAGGCGAGTTACACGCAAATGGTTGGTTCAGTCAAGCGACGTCTTTCGCAGAACAAGCAACAAGACTCACAAGGTCGTAGTTCCTTGCTTGGCGTCTCTTTCGATTCATCCCTCCCCCGGAGATCCGCACCTGCAGCACCTGGAGTGCTCCGGTCCCAGTCAGACACCACAAGACAATCCTGCGGAGTCTGTTCGGCCGAAAGCTCCCCAAACGCGCCTCGACCCCTGCGTGGAGAAGGGCATCAACATCAATTCTGTTCATCTCATCTTCCCTTTACCAGCCATCCTTTCGGAGCCGTCAGTGGGGGCCATCCTATCGGAGTGATTTAGCTGCAGCTCTGGCAGCGGCTGAAGACAGCGGCCCATCGTTTCCAACGTTCTGGAAGAAAGGCCATCTGCTCGAAAAGGAAGGCCCCTCTGTGTCCAACAGAATGCACGAATGAAGATGTGTCATTCTGAAGAGCACAGCTTGGCTTAGCCCTGCCTTGAGCAGCTCCATCGTCTCCGAAGACCAATCAGAGGAATATCCTCAAGGCCGATCTTTTTTCGGGGAGAGCCATGGTCGAGCGGCCAACCTGACCCCGCCTCACTCTGTTCAAATTGTTACCAAAAAAGAATATCAAAACAATCACATCCAGTTTGAGACAAGAATCTTTACAACCTTTTGCTTTCAGCAGAGTCAAAGCTATCTAAAGCACATTTGGGGAGTGGACCGTATCCAGGCATGAGGGTTGCACTAAAGAAAATAGGAGGACTCTAGATAGCAATTTATCAGAAGGGAGTCATGAAGGCAAAGTGATGTGGATTCTTAGGATACATCACAGCACCATTCATCATCATCCACACACATACAGGAGTCATGGGAACAACATCTTCTGGGTCTTTCTGCAGCTGTCTCGGCCAATCTGATCGACTGCAGCTGTCTGATGGAGCGACGCGATCCCTTTCCATTCACATCCCCCGTGCGGCCCAGTCTCCAGCCATGTTCAAATACGTAGGGAACTTCCAAAGATCCAGGGCGGCCTGGCAACCACGGGGGCGCCCAGGTTGGCTGAGGTTGGCTGAGGTTCGTGGCCATCTCAGTACATCTCGATGAATCACATCACATTTCACTTCACATCTCAGAGTCGCTGTGGCATCGCGGCATCGCTCGCTCCGTCGTTGGGCACACCCCGAGTGGTCGCACCGGGAAGGCTACTGGTTCGCACCGCGACGTTGGCACGGCGACTTGGCACACGGGTCTCCTGAGTCTGGACGGTACCCATGATCTGCAGCTGCTCGAGCCTTAGTAAGGTGCATCGCATCGCTACTAGCTACGAACGGAGCAAAGGGCATCGCTACTAGGAGCAAGTGCATCGCTACTAGTAGCTCCACCCATGAAAAAAGAAGGAAAAAAACGCTGCTGGAACACTGCTTGAGTAATTTCACCTTCTTCAGTTTGCCTTCTTGCACGCGTGCGATCTTTGAGCCAGACGCAAAAGAGAATGTAGGTGGCAAATTGAAAGGAAGAGAAGGTGGCATCCCTTGGACCGTTTTCCCCCCTCTAATGGTTCCTTCGTTGGAACCATGTGTGGTCCATGTGTTCGTTGGTCCGTCTAATGACGAGATCCCTCCACCCAAGAGCCCAGCTGCAAAAGGGTCAGCTACCCAGGGAGGCTGAAGAAAGAATGAATTGAGCCGTCCAAATGGTGAGGTCATGCTGCATGATGTTGCAGCAGTTGTATGATGTGTTCCACCGGGAACCCTTCGACTGCGACCTGTGCCTGGGGAGACTTCCTGGCTAAGCCTGGACACGTCCTGCCCGGATGTAAGGGACTGCCCGGATGAAGCCCAAGCTGCTGTGCTGACTTTCGCGCTCTTCTTCATTGCAGAAGAGCGAAGATGCATTGAAGAAAAAGCTCTATCAGGATGTTTGGCTTCTCTGCGGTTCGCAGCCATCAGGCCAAAACCGTGGTAGTTCTATGCAAATTCATATACTTATAGCCTTCTAGCGGATACAAGAAACATGCCAAGACATACATACATAAACTGTCATGAATCATACATTGTAGTGAGAAGCCGCCGCCACACGCACATCATTCCTCTTCCATGCAAGGCAGGAGAGTGCACAGATTTGAGGGCTAGAAAACAAAAAACACAGTGGTCGACGTGTGTTTCAGCACAATTGTCGACGTTTTAACATTGCGCTGTCTGTTCAGGTTTGCCTATGTAGCCTGCAAGTGAATGTCTGCTGTGGTCTAGTCTGGTTTCACTTTACTTGACGAGGTCTAAGCATACACACTAGCTCAGGGGTGCCTGTGCAGGCCAACACAACAACATATGAAGCTGGACGGCTTTCTTCAAAACCGGTCCCTTGCTCAAACCCTTGCATTCCCAAGCAGCAAAAAGGTATTCACGTCATTGTTGTTCACCAAGTTTGCAGCAGCAAAATTCCTGGCACTGAAACAGTTTGGACACGAAGTATACTCGTACTGACATCACTGGCATCCGCCAGTACCCCACAGTGTCTCTTGGTGTCTAGACCCGGGAGACCCCCTGGCCCGGTAGGGTAGCTGGTCCGTTTCCCTGGCAGCTCTCTCTCGGTCCAAGGTGCAAAGGACCGGTCAAAAGGTCATCGTCGAAAATGATGAACGCCTTTCGTCAACGAGTTTTGGCGTCGTGTTTGTGTATATAGACAGCAGCTCGAAGAATGTTTTGGAAAAGTGCCCAAAAGGTCATTCAGGTCATTCTTCCTTTACAGTTCTCTCCCTAAGTTACATTGCAAGCTAGTCCCCATTTCACAACATTTCAGTCCGGCAAAAGGCATGTATCCTACTGGCACCGAGGAGCTTTCGCGTCGTAGTCCTTGTGATAAGTAGTGTTCCTCCGCGTCCAGATGACAAAGCACAAAGCATGCATTGCTTCATCTTTTTTATGATTTCGAACCATGAAGGCGAACGATGAAGGCGTAGATCACAGAACCTCCTTTTCCATTCCGTTGGACTTCTGCAAGAAGGCGTAGGATTCTCACTCGATCTTTCCAAACAAAAAGAACGCCAGAGAGGCAGTTCGGTATCTTCGCCCACCGTTCGGTATCACCCCTTTCTTCAAACAGTCCCCATGCTGAAGAATTATCTTGTTACCGAAAGAAGACTTCTGTTTTGCCCAACAGTCTTGGCACTATCTCAAATGAACAAGCCGACACAGTCCCCTTCTTGAAACAAGGTATCTTGGATAGTCTCGGACTCTTCACCAAGACTCAAAACTGCCGTCGCACAAGTCACAGAGGATTCGCAGCACACAATCCTCGGTGGTGCGTCAAACCGGTCAGCACACATGACATGCCACTGGAGGAGACCAGTGTCACGTGACCGGAGGTGCTGTTTTGCAGGTTCAAAGAGGCCTCTCCATTCACCGGAGAGAGTCTTCTCAGCCCTCCAAGTCCGAGCAAAGGAAACCAACAGCGGACAGCACAGTGAAGATGGAATCACAACAGAACCATTGCAGCGTGGGTGATCGAAAATTTGAGAAGTTGCCATTCAATTAAAAAACTTCGACCCCTTTCAACGCCCCAGGTGGCTCGTGTTGACGGTCATAGGGTGGCTCGTGTTGACCCCCACCGTTCCCCCCACGACTAGGTCGCTGTTCTCGACTCTCCTCTTCCTTGTCGAATCTTCCGGCGTCAGAAATGCTTTAGGTCCCCGTGAGCGTCACTTTGCAGTCACTTGATGGCAGTTGTCTCTTAAGGAGAAAAAAGGACCCAAAACGGAACGCCCATCGGCTGGTGGGTTCCCTCTCGGCAGCCCCCCGGCGTCCGGGTCAGGTCGTCGCCCCAAGCAACACATCGGGTCGCGGAGTCAGAAGGTGGTCCATGACGTCGGCCACGTGCGCCGTGGTCCTCGGAGTGGGAGCGATGCCGGGGTACGGTCGCCGGAGCGCACGGGTTGGGACCCGGGTCCGGGTCCGGGTAGATCTCTTTTTTGGGGGCCAAAATGGGGCACTGGACGATCTCTACAGCACAAGGCAGTATTCTACTAAGCTTGAGTCCAGTGTTTGTGCAACTCAAACTGGCTCAAACGTCAACATGTTTCGCGGTGAGCAGCTGTCAAACAAGTTGGTTGCCCACAAAAACGCCCGTTGCTTGCTGCAAGCCACCTTCAAAAGTCAGAGCACGTAGGGTTCCGTTTTCCAGTGACTGCCGCGTCTTGAGGACCAAGTGGCAAGTTCTCCAAGATTTCGCTGCGAAGAAAGACCAGCCCAGTGATGCCAGCAGTCTGCGGAACGGTTTCACAAGTCCTTAGTCGATAGCTTGAGAGTATGCTCTGTTACATCAATGGGCCTCAAAACCAAGACTAGATCAGCTTACGCTGTGCGATTCTTTGTGCAAGGCCCAAACATGTTTGAACTGATTCCGAGGTGGAATGTTTGTCAACAGTGCAGCAAGCGTCGACTTCTATCAAGTCAGTCTTTATGATGTCCAAGTAAAGGGCTGAACCTCCCACACCCATCCCACACTGGAGGGGGTGGGCGGGAGTCCTGGAAGTCCAACGTCGGTGTGTATAGTGGTGGAAACTGCACGGTCCCAGGCACTTGAAATTGGACACCAGGAACTCCGCTTGTGCGCGAGCCCAGCTCGGGGTGATGACGCTCACTGTGGCAGCGCCTCACGTCGTTCACGCGGACGAGAAGGGACGAGAAGGGACGAGAAGGGAGAAAGAGATTGGGTGGTCGTAGACCTGGAGGGGTGGTGGTCACACCTAAAACTATTTAGAGGTTCTGCCGTGTGTGTGTGTGTGTAGTCTTGCTCTGCCACAGCCTGGGTTCATAGCAATGAATGGCTGGAGGCAGTGTTCCAGGCGCAAAGCGCCCAACGAAAAAGAAAACGCCAAAGGCAGACAGTGGTCTATCCGTAGATTTCAATGTCCAGCAAAAAACCTGCGAAGGCAAAGTGACTGCTGCAGCGAAGACAGCAAAACCATGTCAACTCATGCTTCCGTCAAGCGGACAAGCCAACAGAAGGAACATCACAGCCGGGTGCGGAAGGAGCGATGAGGCGCCTCAGGAACCGCAAAGCACTCCGCTGCCTATCAAGCGCTGAAGCAGACCAGGCCACTGCAGCATCAAAGGTAAATTTCCAATCAAGAAGCTCGTGCACAGACCGAGCGGCCTGTTCCTGAGCTTTGGCGTCGGCGCGCTTGTTGAGGAGTCTCCAAGTCTCAGCCATGTGGCCAGCAAGGGACGGGGTCCAATCAAGAAGCTTATCGTGCGAAGGCACCCACGCAATTTCGTGGGTGGAGCAAACTAAGCTTAAGGCCTTCCACAGGCCCGGCGCCCACTGAGGCAAATATCCCGTCGTTTGGATTTGCTTCACACGTCTGACGACTGCAAGGTTATCGCAAACCAACAGAAGATCTACGCGCAAATGAGTCGCAGCAATGAAAGCTTTCAAAACAGCAACCGATTCAGCGCCAAAAATGTTTTGATCCAGTCCCTGGAGACGGGCAGCAAAAACCCGGTCGGTTGTTGCGACACTCCAAGCAGCCCTGCGCAGATTCTGGACCTTTTGAGAACTACCATCGGAAGCTACCAAAAGTACCTGGTCGGCCGTGGCAGTCCTACGAAAAAGATCACACAAATTCGGATCCGGTCGCAAAAACTGGCTACACCTTTCATCAGGTATGGGAGGAAGTTGGATGCTAGGAACGAGCAAACGTTCCTCAGCTTTGCGTGTAGGCCGAGAAGCCTCAGGCAACCCTGGGCAAGAAGGACAATGCCACGTGACATGTGTGCGTGAAGGCCATTCCCTCCCGCATGCACAATTGAAGGACTCAAGCTCATGCTGCTTGGCGAGTTTACGACTATCTTTGCCAGCGCCGACCGCAATGCAGAAGGACTCCCAATCAGAGACGCCCTGACGCATCCAAGCTGAATGCGCCTGGTAGACTGGCAAAACACGTTGACAAACCTCCGCGTCATCTGCGCGCGGGGCTCGTTTCTCCAAAGGTACGCCAGCCATGCGTGTCTCATGGCCTCTTTGATTGCCGGCAGCCCGTCAAATGCCAAATCAAGGTCCCCCTGCGGGGTGCGGAAACGACTCTGCGAGATGTGCTGCCACTGCCACTTGTTCAAAACTTCTGCCAATCGGTAAGAGGTCGAAGGTTGGGGCATAGCGGCACACACCTGCTCGATGTCGAGCAGGGAACGGCAACTTGAGACAGCACGTCTGACTTTCCAAAGCTCATGAAAGACTACCCGCCTGTCCAACGCGAATTCAGGACAAAGATCCGGACCTAAATACTGCCAAAGCAGAAAACGAGACCTGCCCGGCACGGCACGGCCGATGATGGTTTGCTCAATGGTGTTACGCCACTGATTCAAGAGCTTTTTGGACACAGTTGTCCACGGCCCCGAATGAGCAAACAAAGACAACACCAAACTGCGCGTGAGCTTGCGTTTGTTTCTCTGGTTGCTGGTTGCGGTCCGAAGTCTCTGGCCGTTTCTCCAGTTTCTCTGGCCAAGTTTCATCAGCAGAACCGCGTCTCTAATTCCCACTCTACCTTCCAACTTCAAGGGCTTGCACTTAATGCTGTCTGTCCTTCCCCCGCTTGTGCTTTGCATACGCTTCTGCTTGTTCTCAAAGGCTTGTTCAACTTGTTCACATGTTTATTTTCACAAATGTTTCTTGAAATTCTTGAGTGTCAATCCCTGCTCTGGGCTTCGCAGGTATTCTTTTCTTATCGCCCAGACTTGCAATCCCCTCTGTGAGCCCTCATAAAGCCTCGCAGCCTCGCTGCCCCACCTTGTTGCGCGATGAGTTCAAAGGGCGCCAGTAGCATCTCAGAGTAGGGACCTCACTCCCAGCGACCGAACCCGCCCAACCCGCCCAACCTGGCCAGCCTGGCCTCCGCGGCGCGACGCGCCTGTTCCGGACGTCTCCGCGAAGCGCGGGTTTCCACGTCGCGTGCGCCCCAGTTGCACGTCTCGCTGGCGCCCGTTGCGCCCCGGGTCGGGTCGAAAACGCGTTCGGATGCTGAGCGGAGCGGCGTGTCATGGAGAAGACGGTGCTGCGATGGGCGACGCTGGCGTTCACCTTGCTCAAGGGCCCCATGAGCACCACCTGAGGGCGAGTGGACCGGGTGAGGGGGGGAGTGGAAGAGGGGGGACGAGGGGAGTGCATTTGATATGACCCAGGGTGGTGACTTGTCACACACTAAAGTAGCTCCTCGCAACTTGGTAGGTGCTTGATGGGTAAATCCACCCTCTAAACATCGTTTTAAACGAGGAAGAGTCTTGGTGGTTGCTTTGACCACCAAGTGACAGTGAGCCCACTGAAAACAATGGTATCTTCCATTTGTACTGCCCGGTTGATAGTGGTACAAGGGTCGGTCAAGCCAGGCGAATCGCCAAGTAACTCAACCTGTCAAGCCATGACTTCAACCAACCCTTCTGTCAAACCGGCCCACAGGAAAAATATTCGGTGGAACAAGTCGAGACGATTGTGAGTCCTCTTGGATAAATCTCTCTTGCACCTCTTCCCGTTCCAGCCTGATCGGCATCCGCCACTGCAGCCTCGGGGACACTTTCGGTCTGCAAGTCAGTGCAACAAAAAATGCTTGCAATGATCCAATGTCGCAAAAGCTTTGGCCAATGTAGATAGGTCTCTCTTCTCTACATCAGCGCTATGGGTGCTTAGCAATATCTACATGTGCTCCCAAACTTCCCATGTACCCACCTGTTGCAATAGTGGATTGAAACCAGCCAATGAGAAGCATGTTCCATCCCAAGGCCCAAATCACTTTGTGTCCTCATCGGGGTTATCTAGGGTATACAAAATCTGATTCACAGCTTGAAAACGCGCGTTTGTTGAGACGGCCAGGTTCTTCGCACGAGGTCACGCTTCTCCGCCCATGAACCAATTCTACGTACCCCCAATTCTGTGACACACTCCAATTCTACTAACTGCAGAGAGACGTCGCGAAAAAGACACAAAAAACATCAATAAAAACGTGGAAAAAAAAACGCTGAAAAACATCGAAAAGCAAGAGACAGGGTTCACTCGAATTTCACGCGCATATCGCTTCCCAAGGGACCACCGCTTCGAAGGTGTCGTCGCCCCAAGGCCCGAGCATCAACTTCGTGCCGATCCTGGCGGCGAGAAACGGCCGACCCCTGCAAGTTGGCCACGGAAGGACCTGCGAGGGTGCCCTGCGAGAAATCAAAGGCATGCGGTCCTGGAGGCCAAGGTGCCATGCAAAAAGTTTGTACTAGTAGTTCTATAGGGATTAGGACTCTGGACAAAGCTCCTTGAATCGCAAAAGAAAGAGTCCCCAGCAGGTTTCAGACATGCTATTCCCTCCAAAAAGAAATGAAGCAGTTGAAGCATATGGATTTACAGGGCTGCAGAAAACAGAAGGGATCCACCAAGTTGACAAGCTATGTCCAAGTTGAAGAGATTCGTGCTAAGATACCAGATCCATGAACCCAAAGTAACTGAGGACTTGTTCATCCCGCGGAGCGCGCGACTCGCTCGCGCCTGCTGGAGAGAAACGAGGCCCGGCCAGATATATCCTGCTGAAAAGCGCGCACGTGCCGCGGATGAAGCTGGCTGAGACACCCAGGTCACCGGTCACCCTGGATAGACTGGCTTTCCGAACCTTCCACGCAGTCGAACTGGGAGGTCTTCCTTAAATAGACACTCAAATGGCATCACAAATCGTTTTCTCCGTCTACCGCACCAAAAGCTCGCCCACCTGAAGGGTGCCATCCACAGACAAGGCAGTCACTGACAGCTGTCCTGGCTTCGGCAAACAGTTCAGTCTGATTCTCCAGCTCAAAGGGAAGCACTGAATTAGCTTTCATTAGGTCAGCAACATACCTGCAAATACACAGTACATAAATCATAGCGGCCAATTCAACTTCTGTTTCCTGAGAAAAAGGCTGCTCAACTCACAAGGGACATGATCAAGAACACGATTCCTCTTTTGTTGCTTGCTGCAGATTGTGGAGAAGCCGTAGCTCAACGTTTTTTGTAAGCTTTCATCGGTAATTCTGATAGCAACCAATGATCTTGGGAAATTAAAGTTTGGAGTCTGGAACTGTGAATCCCGACCTGGGGTGGACGGGTTGACTCTACTAGGGTCTGAGGCAAATCTTTGCTTTTCACCTCAGGATATATCGCAACCCATCTCGAGGACGACCCGAAAAGGACCCAAGAAGCCTCTGACAGCACTGGCTTGCCCGTTCACTTCAAAGAACATGTTGTAGCCACTCTCGTACCTTAGCGTCAAAGCATGGACCCGCAAGCATGGACCCGCAGGACACTCGATACCCCTTATCCTGGATGCAAGTTTTCCAACACTGAAACCTTGTGGGTGACGACGGTCACGGGCATATCCTAATCAGGTAACCTGAGGTCTTTTGCTCTGCCCTTGGAGAATGGCATGGTCAGCTTGCTGAAAGAAACAAACATCTATTTAGCTGTGTAGATCGTTTTATATGTATATGACATCAACATAAATATTCACTTCCTTCCAAATCCACATGTGACATCGGTACTACGAATTAAGCCCATTGCGGCAAACTGTTTCAATTCTCTTTGCTCAGCCACAAAAAATGCTGCACAGTGTCTGTTCCCCAGCCATATTTTGCGTCTGTCCTGCACCGCCAGAGGTGAGGTATAAGCCTGGGTGAATGACGCTGCAAGAACTTCACAGACTTCATGGACACCACCCAGCTTCTGATTGTCACATGGCACATGGATTTTGGGGGAAAAATGCCCAAAGAAACCAAAATGACCCAGGACCTGGTTCCTTTTTCCATTAGTCTATGCTGGTCTCTCTACACATACATATATATATATATATGTATCCCTTATCTGTTGTCTTGTCTTTATCTTTCATATCTGTTGTAGGCTGTTCCTTTTATGTCTTTCTCTCGTAGTTTTACCTTTCATTCGCCTTCCTGCCTTTCCTTTCTTTGCGTCTTTCAGTTCCTTTCCTCCTTTACTTCCACTTCCCTTTTCTGTTCCCTTTTTCTGTTCCTTCCCTTTCCCTTCCCTTTCCCTTTCCCTTTCCCTTTCCCTTCCTTTCCTTCTTTCCTTGTTCGTCTCCCTCGCCTCTCCTTGCCTCTCCTCGCCTCTCCTCTCCTCTCTCTGTCTGTCCCTCTCCCTCTCCTCTCCTCTCCTCTCTCTGTCTCTCTCTCTCTCTCTCCCCCTCTTGCTCCCTCTTATTTTCCTCTCCGACTCTCCTTATGTATATATATGCACTTGTATGAACCCTTCGCTCCGTACAGGCTGCTTTTTTGTCAAAACAGCCCGTGCCCTATGACTGAAAAGCCCCAGTAGACCTGCAGAGTGCTTCAAGCACTCAAGCCGTTTACCCAAGCTCCTATGGCCCGGGAAGGTCGGGGGCAGGGAAGGTGGGAGCCGACACTTCGCGGGTTCAAAACGTGCGTAACCCTGCTAAAGCAGAAGCTCTATCATCGGGTACTCCCCTCGTCTGCTCGTTTCTACCACGAACCGAGCAAGGACATCTTTGTATTCCTTCCAGGGTACGTGTTTGCGCTGATCCACAAACAAAAAGAGAAAAGTGCGTGTTCGTGGAGCAGATAATGTACACAACAGTTACTGCGGACAGTAGCTGGTCCCAAGTTGACCGAAGAGAATCTCGTAGAACCATTTTGACGTCATCAAAAGTCTCTTTGGACCTGACAACCACATCCTGTGAGACAATCAAGGCGCGCCCCCTTTTATACATCTTTTTCGCTCAAAGCTCTGCGCATCTTCTTTTGAAGACTCATGGTGTGCGTCGACTGGCTGCTGTTTTTGCCGGGTTCTGATCACTCTTCACCCAGCCCAGGACCGGGTAAATTCTTCCAGCCAACTGCAGTGCTCCATATCGTCGAAGAAGTCCATTTAAGATGCAGGACGACGATCGGCCCTTCATGGCCAAAGCGAGCACAACTGGACTGTCGACTAAGCGCAGAGCTCGACAGAAAACAAACTTTGGAAATTGCAGCCTCCATGTCAAACTCAAGATCAAGGCCTTCAACTCTTGAACATCCTCCTTCTCGGGGGCCAAGAACACGTAACTCTGCCCTTCATGCCAAAGCCACCGGTTCACATCAAACTCGGCGTGGGGGAAGGAGTCTGGCCTGTATAGAGTGCTGAGCTCCAATTGGGTGCTTGAGCCTCTATACTCCCGTTTCTTTACAAGCGCTGACACAAGCTTTGTGCTCAGCCGCCTCTCAGTTTGCAGGAGCTGATCTTCTGTTGACCACGACTTCAGGTTGCTATCCAAGGTTCTTAGTAGAGCTTCAGCTGCTAGCGACTCCACGGCGCTTTCATTCTCCTCCTTGCGGCCCCTGCGGCTTTTCAACGCTTCACTCGGATGCGCGCCTTCATCAACTGCCTCCTCGGCTTCCTGCCTCCTCGGCTTCCTCCTCGGCTTCCTGCACAAACCGTTTCATCGCCTCTTCAATGTGGTTCTGTGCAATTTGCACTGGTCCTTTGATGCCCTTTAGCCTCATGGCGCCTAGGACTTCATCCAGCAAAACGGCCAAAATGGTAACATGAGACGCATTGCCCAGTGCCGCACACCTCGCGTCCTCAGCCACTTGGTTCTCGTTCAAGGTGGTTGGTGCCTTTTTGAGCAAAGCCAGTGCGTGGTGACGCGAATAGCCCATGAGCACTTCTCTTTCCTCAGCTGGTCGTACCTCAGATACCTGAGTCTCGACCATGAACTCTTGAGCGTAGGCGCGAAGAGGGTATCTAAACTCATCTCTTGTCCACCGAGCTTGAGCGCCTGGCAAGGCGGACCGCAGGCCAGTATCGTCATCAGGAGGTTCCTCTCTCTTGATCGGCCTTGTGAACGACTGGAACCTCAAGTTCTCATCCGCCTCTCCTCCCGGCCACTCACATTCTGGCCTCAGCAAGCTGATCAACGGCTCTGTCTCAACCCCCTTGATGATCAACTTGCCAAAAACGTCAATCTTCCAATCGAAATACTTCTGCTCTGGAATGGGTCTCGAAACCCAGTACATTCTTGGGCGACTGGCTCGACTAATGTCACCGCTGTCAACCATGACCGGCCCCACCGACATCTGTTCCAGGTCATCCAAAGCTGTTACAACATTCTCCATTAGCTTTAATGTCCAGATGCCTCTCTCTCTTGCAACCTCATCGACCACCATGAAGACCTTCACGACGTCGGGGAAAAACTTGTGCACTGATTCGCCTGACTCTTCAGGCTGGCCCTGCGCGACACCAAGGCTCTGACAAGGAGGGCACCCTCCAACAATGATTCCTTTGGCATTTGGGCACATCTCAAGTGCCCTCTCCAAAACTTCTCTTCCAAACTCCTTGATGTCGTTGACAATGCGCATGGCCGGGTAGCGCCTCTTCAGCAACCGTCTGCACTCTCTGCTCGCAAAACGGTCGTATCGGTGACCCCGAGCTGGGGCTCACCACCAAGCAAGGCATCAGCTTGCTTCCTATCCGACCATGTCCACCTGGACGCATACATCATACCTCCACCTGTTTCAGACGTGTCCGAGCGTGTAACCACAGGATCCAGACGTTGGTCTGAGCCAGAGGGACTTTGTAGCAAGCCCATCGCCCACTTGGTCTCAGCCCTATCGTCCAGGATGCTCAGAAACACACCCTCTAGGTTTGACAACATGCGTCTCCTAGCCTGTAGCCTGGAGTAAGTGCACAGCCTGACCAGCCTTGTAAGCCCCGCAGATAGCAACCAAGGCCGATCATATCCAAAGCTTGAGTTGAAAGCCGTAGGACACCATTCTTGTCATGAATGCAGGCATCCAGCTTTCCAACTTCGCTGCGTTGGGAAAGGACCTTCTCCTTATCCATCGGGATTCCCGACCAGGCATAGCCTCGCCGAAGTCGTCCTTGAACTTGCCCCGTCTGGCCTTCCAACGACTCCTCAACGGCTCTGTGGATCTGCTCAGGCAACAGGGCATCCAAAGCAAACATTATCCATGGTGGTTCAACTTGTAGGTCAGGGTATGTATCCTCCGATGTGACCTCACCAACTTGTCCAGCCCTGCGCCTTCGAGGGATGGAGCCCGCAGCGACAGCTCCCAAAGTGCAGCCTGCATAATGCTCCCTGCACTGCGCCACCCCACCGGCAGCACTCGTAGGCCCACCCACAAACGCGAGCTGCCCTTTAACCCGATGTCCTCAGGCATCACTGGCTTCTCAAGCGTCATGTATTCGGGCCAACAGTCCGGGAGCTCGAAAAGGAAGAACGACGAAACGAGATCTTCACCCGACACCAGCAAGTCTTCACCATCGTCATGGATGCACCTTTGAAGACTTGATGCGCCACTCAACTTGTAGCCATCCGCATTGAGCTGCTTCATCGTGAAATTGGTTGCCCTCAAATCGAAGATGATGCGGAGGACAGGGAGCCCACTGTCAGTGAACTCATTTCCTCTTGGCACACCACACGCCCCATTGCTCAGGAAATGCCCTTCGAACTTGGGAGTTTTGTCGACCGCTCGCACCAGGCCCCGCTCAATGAGTGCGTTCACAACCAAAGGCCATTCCTGATCCGAGCAGTAGACTCGGGGCTTCGACGGCATTCCAGGTGGATCTAAACGCAAAAGCTTCTCGGGTTGACAAAGTTGGCAGGCCAAACCTTCTGGGAGCACGTCAACCAACTTCACCATGCCTGTGGGCCCAACATTTGGAAGACCAGGAAGGATCTGGTCCAGGGTGATTGCGTGAGCCTTCTCCACCACTCTGCCATCGCAAGACGTTCTCAACTCATCAATTTTTGTTGCCCAGTCTAGTTCACAGACTCTGGGCACACCTTTTGGGCCCTTCTCGTCGACAAAGACCTCCACCTGCTTCCAGATCTGCATCAATGCCTCCTCTTGGGCCTCGCTGGCCAATGATCCCATTTGGGGCCCGTCTGGATGCCGCCAATTGCCATGCATCACGTTTATGGCTGCCACTGCCAACCCATGCCACAAGCACATACCTTCATGGCGAAGAACTTTGGAAGCTTTGCTACGAGTGTCGCCCCTTTCACGCCAATCTCCAGGGCCTTCCCAGCTAAACTCCAACTTCTCGAACCGCTGAAGGACCTTGACTGCCGAAAACCATTGCGGGAGAGGCAACAAACCACTCGGCGGGCTTGTGCCCTCTCGTGGGGGCTGAATTGACCATGACAGGCAGCCACCAAGCGGGGTCCCACTCTTGAAGACTTGTATAGCCACATCACGAGCCAATTGAGCAGCGCTATAACCACCGGGGTACTCCTCAGCGAAAAAGTCCAACACCTGACCGGCAACTTCATGGAGATCACCTCGTGGCTCGAGTTCCATCCTCCTCCGTTTTCCCTGCTCTTCTGACTCCTGCTCATTGACCAGGTCCGCGGTAGGACGGGTCGGGCCGCAGCCACCTCAGGTGCTTGACGGCCGCCGTTCCCAATGGCAAAGGTCACAAGGGGCTCCTCTTTCTCCAAACCATTGAGGAGGATAGAGGATATCCGCTCAGCTTCAATCCCCTGATCCTCCCCATATTTGACCAGCACTTCGAAGGCTGAACTCATCTTGCCTCCTATGCCACTATCCCTTTGGATCTGTGGCAGCTGGAGAGGAGAACGTCCTCTCTGATCAACAACCCGCGGGGGTCTGTCGATCTGGGAGGCGGTCCACTTTGAAGGGACCTGACGTATCCTCACAACTGAGGTACCTGATTTCCACCCCCGGCCACAACCCCTGGGGGTCTGTGGCCACTGCCGGTGGAAATCCCCACTCCCTGGCCACTGTCTGCTAACTCTATCAGGGGACCTGGGGCTGTCCTCTTAGGAGTCTCAGACCCAGGCCCCCACGCTCCGGCCCTCACTGAGCCGACACTTCGCGGGTTCAAAACGCGCATAACCCTGCTAAAGCAGAAGACATATACATATATATATATATATGTGTGTTTTATTGTTTTCTTTCGTTCGCTCTTGATTTCGTTCTTTCTTTCTTTCTGTCTTTCTGTCTTTATTTATTGTTTTCTTTGTGTCTTTCTCTAGTTTTTTTTATTTTTTTCTTAGTTCTTTCTTTATTTTTTCTTTTCTTTTCTTTTCTTTTCTCTTTCTTGCTTCCTTGCTTCCTTGCTTCCTTCCTTCCTTCCTTCCTTGCTTCCTTGCTTCCTTGCTTCCTTGCTTCCTTGCTTGCTAGCTTGCTTGCTTGCTTGCTTTCTTGCTTTCTTGCTTTCTTGCTTTCTTGCTTTCTTGCTT